CAAAGGATTGGGTTTCTGCCTCTGGCCCATTGACAAAAGTGGGGGAGGCAGGAAGGTGGGAGCTGCTTTGTCTTTAAAACATGTTTCTCCATTTCTCATCCAGAGAAATATATTCTGCCTTTTTAATATTTCCTAAAATATTTCATTCTTCTAGGAAAGGGGTGGGTACTAACTTCCTACAGGTAGAAAGGTTAACCCAGAATGAATGGGCAGATGGAAGTGGGCTAATTGAATTTAATAACCTTAGATTTGTAAGCAGGCAGGGGAGATTCATGTAGATAGAAATCATGTTTTACTATTTGTGAAGCTACTTACATGATCAATAGGTAGACTATTAGTAATTGCAATGCATGAAGAAAAGTTGTTTTCTGGTAAATATAACTGGAAGAAAACTGCTTCTTTCAAACACTGAGCTAATGAAAAATTTCCTGACGTTGGCATGCAGAAACCTGCTGGTCTCTTACCTCCTGCCATATGTCTTAAAAGCCTGGCTAAGATTAAAACAGCATTTCTCAAAATGAGAAAAGAAAAAAGCCACCCGCAAATTAGAAAAATGGTTCTACTGGATAAGATAACATTGATGAATTTTAAAAGGCTCCTTTAAGTTATTGATAACATGGGAATGTACATACAGTGCTTATGCCAGTGGTGGCGAAATTTTAATGTGTAGGCATCCTTTATGTTTAGTAGCAAAACAGTCTTTTGATTGTGTGCTTATCAATGTGGTGGGTTTTCATTGCACAGATTACTAGTGAAGAAAGTGAGGACCTTTTCCCTTAAATCAACCATGACCTGACCTATTGATGGGAAAGGAGTGTTTCTGTTCTGAATGTTGGTCTCCTAAGTCCTGCTTTAATGTTCCAAGACAAACAATGGCCATTTCCTCTATGATAAACAAGCAGCCTTTAATTAGTGACACATTGGCATTTTCCATGGAAATGGTTGTAAAAGATGCATCTCTGCTTGATGTTTGGAAGAGTAAGTGTAAATGCAAAAAGTGCTTTATGTAGTTATGGATTAGTTTTTCTTGGGTGCCTGGGAAGGTGTCCAAGTGAAAGGGTACAAAAACTGACAATGAGCAGAAGCTGGCAAGGGCAGGACATCTTTTAACGAGGCAGGAGCATGATTTCTGCTGTTCAGCAAGCATTGAGAAATGTATGCATGAAAAGATATTGCATAGTTTTTGATTTAGTGAATAAGACGTGATTGCATGAATATGGGATAGAAGGTTGGCTGTGTAAATGTTGTGTCAAGTTAGTGGACTTTCAGCAGCACAATTTCAGGTAGTTATCCAAGACTGATGAGAGTTAAGGTTGAGAATGGCTTCAGTTTCTCTTATAGGAGCCCCCTACACTCATTGCCACCCTTAACCTTACAGTGCCAAATACGTGCTCCCCCCCAAATTCAGTGACCTTTATAATTAATTCAACCTTTTCCAGCAATATTGTATTGTTATGAGAGCCTTTGTGGTTTTCCAGAAGTTCTCCCTGTGGTACAGAGGCTGAATTGTGGCCTTTGGCCTTTCAAATGCCATCTTTCTCTGCACTAAAAGAAATAAAATGACAGTGAGCTTACTTAAACTGGAAATACTGAATACAGTATTCCGTTTAGGAAATAGAAACTTCTGCAACTTGCATGTCACTTGTATAAGCAAACCATTCAATGTTTACGTTTGGACAAATCCTTTGTTTTTTCTTTCATAACTAAAACATTCTTCCTAGTTATTTGACAATTCTTCCAATTTTTTGACAGTCCTGCAAAATGCTAATTGGTCTACCAATACAGATTGAAAGAGTCAAATTATGGTGTTTGGGCCTCATAATTATATAATTATATATAATTATGATAGATAGATAGATAGATAGATAGATAGATAGATAGATAGATAGATAGATAGAAAGAAAGAAAATATGCTGTAGTTAATATGCTGTATAAAATTTTTATAGATTTTGTACTGTATATACAATTGTATAGATTGTATAGAAAGATCCCTTTCATGGATCACTGTCTTGTCGTGGTGAAGGGGCTTGCGTAGCTCAATGAAACTATGAGCTATGCCATGCAGGGCCACCCAAGACCGACAGGTCATAGCAGAGAGCTCTGACAAAACGTGATCCACTGGAGAAGGAAATGGCAACCCACTCCAGTATCTTTGCCATGAAAACCCTATGGGCAGTACCAAAAGGAAAAAAGATATGACACTGGAAGATGAGTCCCTCAGGTCGGAAGGTGTCCAATATGCTACTGGGGAAGAGCAGATGGCTAGTACTAGTAGTGCCAGAAAGAGTGAAGCAACTGGGCCAAAGCTGAAAGGACACTCAGCTGTGGATGCAGATGGTGGTGAAAGGAAAGTCCGATGCTGTAAAGATTTTTTCTCCATAGGAACCTGGAATGTAAGATCCATGAATCGAGGCAAGTTGGACGTGGTCAAACAAAAGATGACAAGACTGAACATCGACATCTTAGGAATCAGCGAACTAAAATGGACAGGAATGGGTGAATTTAATTCAGATGACCATCAGGTATACTACTGCGGGCAAGAATCCCTCCGAAGAAATGGAACAGCCTTCATAATCAATAAAAGAGTAGGAAAAGCAATACTGGGATACAATCCCCAAAATGACAGAATGATCTCAGTTCAAATCCAAAGCAAACCATTCAACATCACAGTAGTCTAAATCTATGCCCCAACCACTGGTGCTGAAGAGGCTGAAGTTGACTGGTTCTATGAAGCCCTACAACATGATGTTATAGAATTAACATCAAAAAATGATGTTCTTATCATCATAGGCGATTGGAATGCTAAAGTAGGAAGCTAAAAGGCAAGTTTGGCCTTGGAGTACAAACTGAAGCAGGGCACAGGGCACCATTCTAATAGCAGAAAGTGAAGAGGAACTAAAGAGCCTTCTTATGCGGGTGAAGGAGGAGAGTGCAAAAGTTGGCTTGAAACTCAACATTAAGAAAACTAAGATCATGGCTCCCGGCCCTCTCAATTCCTGGCAAATAGATGGGGAAGAAATGGAGGTAGTGACAGATTTTATTTTCCTGGGCTCCAAGTTCACTGCACATGGGGACTACAGCCAAAAATTAAAAGACACTTGTTCCTGGGGAGGAAAGCTATAGCAAAGTTAGACAGCATACTAAAAAGCAGAGACATCACCCTGCCAACAAAAGTGGGTATAGTCAAGGCTATGATTTTCCCAGTTGCAATGTATGATTGTAAAAGTTGGACCATAAGGAAAGCTGAGTGTCAAAGAATTGAGGTCTTTGAACTATGGTGCTGGAGAAGACTCCTGTGAGTCCCTTGGACTTCAAGGCAATCAAACCAGTCAGTCCTAGAGGAGATCAACCCTGACTGCTCTTTAGAAGGCCAGGTCCTGAAACTGAAATACTTTGGCCACTTAATGAGAAGGAAGGACTCACTGGAGAAGAGCCTAATGCTGGGAATGATTGAGGGCAAAAGAAGAACGGGACGGCAGAGAATGAGGTGGCTGGATGGAGTCACTGAAGCAGTTGGCGTGAGTTTAAATGGTCTCCGGGGGATGGTACAGGACAGGAAGGCTTGGAGGAAAGTTGTCCATGGGGTCGTGATGGGTCGTACAGGACTTTGCAACTAACAACAACAAGCTTTGTCATGACTAAGTTGACTTGTGATTGAGTTTAATAGAACATAAATTCAACTAAAATTGTCTGATATGTTTCGTGGCTTATTGTAGCAACAGTCCTGACTACTGTTCACATGTCTTTGTACAGGTTTCTCATGCAAATAGTTTATTAAAACTTTTAAGGCTATATAATGAGACTTAGTGCAATAAAAGGTAAAGATCTCCTTCCTCCCCAATTGGGAAATACTACATGTTCCTTACATAGAGTTGACCAATCAGTACCTAATGGCCATTGAATTCTCTGTTGCTCAATGGGTGTTACATAATCCATCCATACACTTCATGACTGGCTCATGTTCTCTTTTTTCTATTCCTTTCATGCTCAATCTTATGGCTGCCATTGCTCTTTTGAAAACCTCTGTGTGTGTGTGTGTGTGTATTCATATGCAATAATATGAGTTAGAACATGCAGTGGTTAGAATGCAGTACTGCAGGCTCCTTCTGCTGACTGCCGGCTGCCTGCAGTTTGGTAGTTCGAGTCTCAGCAGTTCAAGGTTGACTCAGCCTTCCCTCCTTCCGAGGTGGGTAAAATGAGTACCCAGATTGTTGGGGGCAATATGCTGACTCTGTAAACTGCTTAGAGAGGGCTGTAAAGCACTGTGAAGCAATATATATAGTAAGTCTAAATGCTATTGCTATTATTTTTACTACTGAGGATACTATAAACAGCAAATTGATAAAACAGTGGAGCCACCCAGCACGGCAAGTAAAAAGGTGTTTATTAATGAATAGCTACAGATTTCAGTAATATTCTTTATTCAGTAATAGTCTTTCTGCATCCTGTTGATTTGTCATTGTCTTGTGGCACATACAGAGCAAGGAAAAGTAATACATAGACCCTCCAATCTTGTAGGAAGGAACCTCAGCCTTGCAGCTCTAGTTAGGGCTGATCAACGTTGGAATTCCACAACTGGAGGCTCTTTTACACATTGTCAGTTTGATTTAAAAGGAAGGGATTCCCATGCTGGTCCAGAAAAACATTATTAACTTTTTTCTCCCTTTGTGGCAGCCTTGAACACAAAGTGGTATTACTCTAACTGTACTTTTAAGCATGCAAGAGATAAAGAATTGGGTGGGGGAACTGGAGAGAAGGGGGTCAGTTGTCGGGGCATGAAAACGTATTTGGCTCATATAATAAGATTGTCACATATTAAAGGGTTAACTGTAGGCTGGGATATTTAAACACTTCTTACTAGGTACGCACAAGCTTGTTTGTTTAGGTAAATAAATAAGGAAGGAATTAGATATAATGGGGAAAGAAGACTTTTCCTGAACACTGCATTGCTTGTATTCAGCTACAGCTTGGTGCATAGCTTTTTAAAGATGCTGATTAGATGAATGCATTTTTTCTTATATTCGTTCTCCATTGCAGTTTCTTGGCCTGCCTGCATTCCTTAGTGAGCAGCAGGTACTTATGAGGGTATCTTTCCTTTGCAGGTTTGATACGTCTTTGAGCATTTCACTTCTTGCATGCAATACTTGGGTTTAGGTGCAGAAATAAAGCATAGCTTTAGCTCTTTTAAGCACCTTGATCAACTCCCTTGGCTATTCCATTCTCTGTCCTTTGACCACTGCATGCTCAGTGAAGGCACTTAAGATTGGCTGGAGCATTTGCCTCACTATTGGATTGATGCTGCTGGTGGTCATTGATACTTCTCTGGACAGCTAAAGGGTAAGTGTGGAAGTTTCTAATTGATAGATTTAAGAAGCAGACCTCTTTATTATTCCAAAAATGCCAGTGTCTTTTCCCTGCAAAGTCTTCAAGGAGAATGGTAAATATTTTAAGATTTGTTGGCCAGTCCTTATGAGTTCAAAATCTTCACTCACATTGAGCACCAGCTAGTGGAGTGGGTTTTTTTGTTTTTTGTTTTTTTTATTCTTTGCAATTAGAGAACAATTCACTGAAGTAATCCTGGAATATTCAACAACCTTTTCAAGTTGAATGAATAATCCCTTTCTTACTGCTTTGCTGACGTGGTATAGCTAGGCACAAATCTGTAGTTCAGTAGTGCATATTCAGCTAGTGCTAATTCAGTACTGACATGCCATTACATTGTGAGATCATGTTTGTTGCATTAATACCCTGCTCCAATAATATACAGTTTGAGGTAAATGCCTTTCTTTATTACAGAAGTTATATTGAAACAGACACCTCTTTTGTCCATTGTTTCTTCTTATCCAGGAATAGTTTTGTTATTTCTTTTACATCTTTCCCTGTTAGACGTCTAGAGAATGATAGCTGAGATTCAAATTCAGAGGCTGGGGTACAATATCTCCCTCTAGATTGTACTAATTATGCCGATCTCAGTATGTCATCCGTCTACTATGATGAGACTCAGCTGTGGTGCCATGTAGCTTGAGAGGAATAGATATGTTATATTAGCACATTAAAAAAACTGCTTCCCCCCTTAATGGATATCTACCTGTAATAACTAAGCACATAAATAGGGAGTGTTAGGAGGTGGAAGATACCCACTAAAAGTGCACTTTGCAATATATTTTGTTCCCCACTCCTCGTGTGAGTTACTTCTCATTTCCCACCCTCAAACCACAAGGCAAATTGGCATCATGCTTGATTTTTTTTCCTTTCTGTGGTTATGCTTGGTTAGTGAAATACAAATGACAGCTAACCTGCCAAATCCTTCTCAACCATTTCTCATGGGTCCAGGATCCTTGTGGGGCAAGAGGCTTCCCAGGAGGGAAAAGGGTTTTTAAATAGGGGCTTCTCAGCATTTTGAGGAGAACATCAAGCTCTGCTGCCCATCTGGGGCATGCACAGGTTTATATTCAGTTGACAGTTCAACCACTCCCCATACTGTTTTTGTCTCAGAGGTAATCAATAGAGTGCAGGTGGAGAGAGGGCAATCTGACCTTGGGACATGGAGACTTATGTATGCAAAAGCATATGAACATCAAAGCCAACTCAAAATAGGGGATGCCATCTCAGCAACAATCCAGGTGAATTTCTGAATGTTGGTTGCCACCTTCTCTGATCTAGAGATAGGACTGAAGATCTAAGGCAACATGAACATTTCTCCAAACACAGGGTGATAATTTCTGGAAAATGAACATAGGGAACTTCTTTGGTGGGACATTGGGCGATCAACTGAGAATTGAGAATGAAATCCTGGGGAGACATAAAGGTGAGAATATGCAAAGGAATGGTCCCAGGAATGATTCCCTGGCATATACCTCTAAGGATATAATTAAGAAAAGTATGTTTGCTTTTTTTCTCGACTTAATTTTGGTTATTTGTTAGGTCTACATCTTAGACTTTATATTGGATATAAAATGTAATCATTGCCATTAAAAATACTGTCCTAGCAAAATATTTTGTTGTTTGATTATGTAAAAATTTTGAAGATCAAAGCTTGAATCAGTTTTCAGAGAGAGCATATTGGATAATATTGAGCAAGTCTCAATACTCCACCAGTAAAATGGGCATATGGCATATGGCATATGGAGGGTATCAGTCAAGTATTCTGCCCAAAGCTATTCATCCTTGCATCCTAGTAATGACAAAAATAAGCAATACCAATAAATAATAGTATAGCTGGGACAAGGGGAATATAAAAGTGAATCAGTGAATCAATCTATTCATGTTATTGTAAATATTGTAGGATGAATCTTCCTTTTATTAATTAATTAATTAATTAATATATTGTTTTAAGGATTCCTTTTGTTTTTTTCATGTAATTCGGGGCATAATGTATTTAATAATAATAAGCTAGATTGTGAATAATATAGTGTGGAATCAATATAAGAGTGAGTGATTTAGTATTATTAATATTGCTATGAAAAGGTTCTGTAGTTACAATGTGACTTGTTCATGCAGAGTAAGAAACTTTAGCAATATGATGAAATGATTTTTCGCCCACTGGGTTGCAGATATTTTAGCTGGGTTTTTAAAAAAGCAAAATTATTTAATACTTGGGGCTTGTGAGTATCTAAGAATTTGGAATCAATTATATCCTTATACAAAAATCCTTTCCTCAGTTTTCCTCCTACAAGTGGGGACAATACTGCCACCTTTCTGAGATAGCTGGGCTTCCTGCTTTGAGGAGATGCTACAGGTTGTTAAGAGTTGTTTCTTAAATATTTTGTGGGAAATTGCACACAATTTACAAATGAAATAATGATGAAGAGGCTACAGTACCAACAATATTATATCTATTAATGTCTTGAATTATGACTTCCCAGTCTGATGGGTTAATGAGTCTGAAGTAAAGTGCATCTCACTTCTGAAGAGAAGCAATAGGATGTGACTATTTAAAAAAATATTTTAGCTTAGTTCCATTTCAAAAGTTCACATCTTACTTTTCTTATCAGTATTTTCTTAAAAATAATGTAAATTAACACAGCCGTGAGTAATTATATTTCTAGACTTCCAGTTATAAATGTGGTTGACCAAGTTTGCTTTGAATAGGTGTGGATCAGAACCAGGGACAGTTCTCAAACACTTAACATGTCTTTTTGCCTTTGACACCTTATGAAGGAGATTTTGCATCCCACATTATGTCAACAAAAGGAACATTCTGATCTTAGAGAGATTCATATGGTAGTTGGGCTATTCAAAATATGTGAATTCACAATGACAATGAAGTCAAATCACAATGTAATGTTTAATCTGTGATGGAAATAGGTACATTGGTACATATATAGTAGGTGTTGAACTTCTACTATAGAGCAATACAAGTATATATGCAAAACTCTTTCTTTTTACCTCAAACCTCATATAAAATTTGGTATTTGGAATGTTTGACAACTGAAATAATGTTCCATTTTGAACCAAGGTGCGATACCATCCATAAGCATAAGTTGCAATCTTTGGAACACAAAGCATTCCCACTTTGCCAGGTAAAACAAGGCGGGCAGACACTATTTTTAAGTCCAATATGACGTATTAGGATCTTTAGATGTGTTCTACAGAAAGAATAAAGCTCCTAGATTTGAGGTGGATGGGTAAAAAATTTAAATGAAAATTTTTGCTATATGAACAATAGATAAATAAGCCCAATCGGTCTTTTGAGTGCATGGCAATAAGGATAAGGATAAGGATAATTTTATTTCTATACCGCCCCTCTCCCGAAGGACTTGGGGCAGTGTACAGCCAGGTAAAAACACAATACAAATGTCACAATTTAAATTTAAAAAATTATTAAAAGTATTACATTTAAGGCCAATTAACTAAAAAACCCAAAAATTTAAGAATTCCAAATTTAAAACTCAATTTATGAAGCTAGCCCTGCCTGTTGGAAAAGCAGGGTCTTAAGAGCACAGCGGAAAACTCGGAGGTCAGAAATCTTGCGTATGTCCGGGGGCAGTTCATTCCAAAGGGCAGGGGCTCCCACAGAGAAGGCTCTCCCCCTGGGTGTCGCCAGCCGACATAATTTGGCCGACGGCACCCTGAGGAATCCCTCTCTGTGGGAGCGAACTGGACGGTGGGAGGCTATTGGTGGCAGAAGGCGGTCTCGTAGGTACCCAGGTCCTGAGCCATGGAGCGCTTTAAAGGTGGTAACCAACACCTTGAATCGCACCTGGAAGACCACTGGGAGCCAGTGCAGCTCGCACAGGAAAGGTGTTACATGGCCAAGTGCTTATTTCAGGGTTCATAAAAATATAGGACAGGGTCTTATTTTTGGGGAATATTTTCCCCAAAATAAGACCGTGTTTTATATTTTATATCCATGCCAGCTATTCTCAGCACAAGAAAGGGACCAAGAAGCAATCAGAAATCCAAATTGTTGTTTTTTTTTCTTTTTTTGGTTCCACTACATTTCCTGCCAATATTTGGGATCTGTATTTTGATTTGAGGTACTTGCATTATTCAGTCTTATTCTTGTCCTAATTGCACTTAATTGCCTTTCATGGCTGACAAATCATCTACGCATTTTAAAAAGAACTGAACACAACTGGTTAGGCATACATTTCTTCAATTTGGTATCTTTTAAAAAACTTCCTTCTCAATTTGTTTCCTGTTGTGCCAAAAGCAACCTAGCAATTTGGATTTAGAATTATCTGTATTTATGCTGCATTAGTTTTTGTGCCCGGTTTTCGTTTAAAGTTTAAAAAGCCTAGAAGACGTGCCAGATTTTAAGTCACAGACTTCCTGTGCTTCCTTCTCCTGGGTTTCCAGCAGTGCTGCCAATCTGCATATGCTTACTTACGGAGCTTCACTATGCAATTCATCCTAAACCAAACTATTTGCTAATGGAATCAAGTTTAATTAATAGTCCCATTGTTTGGACTCTGTTTTTTAAAAAATCAATCGGCTTTGTGGGAAACAGTAAAAGAAAATTACAAATTGTCTAAGCCAAGGACAGAAGATGACAATATGGTGACTGGACTTAAAATCTTAACAGCTCCACACCACAAAAAAATGGTGCTTTTTTGTGGAATTTAAAACCTTTAAGATATTTGTTTATATTGACTATACATAAAAGGATCTATCAGAGCTGAATAATATAAAGGTATGAAAAGAAAGCTTCTCTTGGAACCTGTCCATGCCAGATATTTGACACATTTTCAGTTCACTGGGGATCAACTGAATGGGATTTTAGGCCAGAGCAGTGAAGTAGAACAAGCAGATCACATTGCCAAGGTGACACTTTAAAAGTATGCTCTGCGTTGGAAAACTGTTTGGCAGGATGTCCAAAAGGGGGTAGTTGAGGG